GTGTGCACTACCATACCAGCCAAAATTACTTTCTACAAAATTAGTTAATACTGATATTTTTTTGTCTCAAAATGACTTCCTGATCTCTCTCCTCTCTCCTCCCTCTCCTCCCTCTCTCTCTCTCTCTCTCTCTCTCTCTCTCTCTCTCTCTCTCTCTCTCTCTCTCTCTCTCACACACACACACACACACACACACACAGAGGGAGACAGAGACAAAGAGAAACAGAGTGTTTATGTATCTTTTCATGTCATCTGATCAAGGAATACACTGTACTTACTAATGACGTTCTTGTAGAAATTACTAAATGTTAATGGCTGTGTTTCCTTCCTTTTCCCCATGCTAAAGTTTTTAAACATTATTTTTATTCTTCTAGTAACTTTTTACCTCCATTCTGACAACTGAATTCAAGGAAAGCGGAACTCTGTCCCTAAGCTATACCTCCTGACCTTCCTTTCCCAGCCTTCTTTTTGGTCTGGGTCAGGGGCTCGCTGTTACTCAAGCTGCCCTTATGCTCACTGCACATCCCAGTCAAGCTCTGAACTCACAATGTCCCTAACTCATTTCCCCAAGGAGCTAGGATTACAGGTCTGTAACATGAAGTGAGGCATCCAGTAATTTGTTTTTCTTTTTGGCTGATATGATGCTTTATACACATTCATGTAAACATGCAAGAAGTAACTCGTTTAAGTCATATTTTGTTCATCTTAAATTGGCGTAGATTTTTTTGATGGCATGTAACAAAGAACCTGGACTAAAATGGTATGGTATATGTTATTAGTGTGTTTCATTTTGCTTCCTAAACCTGCAAGGTTATGCTCAAGATTATATTTGTAGACATTTGGTACTAGAATTTTGAATAAGGGACAATTTAATATATTTATGGTTATTGTTTTCAGATAATATAGAGCTGAGCTATTATTATGAAGCAGAAATTTTACATCTCCCAGGCATCTTCCAATTTTTAATTTAAGTATCATTGTTGCTGAGTTTGGCTTCAGCATTAAAAGATGAAAGCTGTGTAGTTTGTTTTCACGTTGTAAATCAGGCAAGCTGGCTCTCTCCTCTCTGCCCTGTCACCTTGTTAGTCCTGAGGTGATTTTTTTCTTAAAGGACAAGGATAATGTTCCATTTTCTCTAATCTTTTTTCTCTCTTTTGTAATTTCTACAGTGCTATTTTAATAAGCATACTGGCCCTTTGGCTGGGTTCTGTGATACCACATTTATTTGTATTATGCACTGGTTGTATTTCCAAATTTAAAGCTACAAACACTACAAGCTTAGAAATCAGTACTGTTTCTCGGTTCACCTCTGACATTTAATACTAATGATGTGCTTTGCAAATCCAAATGAGAGAATATGTTAGACAGTTAGAGAAAAAAATCCAAGAGATCCAGCAGCTGATACATGGGAGACATTATCCTGAAGTCAGAAATAAGGACTTCTTGTTGACAATTTATGATGGTAAATAATCCTGGTAAATCCTAGATTCAAAAAAAATGTTGTTTTCAGGGAGACATTAAAGATGGTATCCACTTTTTGTTATTTTTTTGTGATATAGCTTTTTTCCTATGCATGGAGCCTTAAAAATTACACATTAGTATGGTATGCATTAATATTAATACATTAGCTAGACAAAGAATCTCTCATTTCATATGCTCAGTACATCACATAATTAAAATCTAGAGAACCTTTTATACGAAGGCAAAGGGAGCTATTTGCTCTTCTGTAACACTTTGACAGTGTGTGAATTTATACTAGGAAATGTACTGCTCCAAAAATGGGAAGTTGACTGCAGATGCTGTTGTTTCCAAGCATTCCACACATGACTTCTCAGCAAGGGCTCAGGTGGAAGGATGGTCTTCCCCTTGAGTAAATGGATGCCTGCACAGGACTACACAACTGTAATCTGTGATTGGCTGAAAGTTGAGACAAAGGTTTTTAAGACAATATCAATTTTTACAGACTCTTCCCTTCATATTCCCTATGTTTTTCTCTGTAACAGCTTCTGAACATTCAGGCCAGGGCTGCTGGAATACAAAATCTGCTTTCATACAGATAACCTGACTAAACTCATCCATTATCTGTAAAGTCTAAATCCCAAAAAGTTGAGCTGCCTTAACGAGGATGCAGTAGCTTCTGGTTCAGCCATGTGTTGATACCACTGTCAAGGGATAATTTCAATGGCAAGCATGTAAATGTTTTTGTCTAGCTAACACTGGGGGAAAAATAAGTAAGTGAAGGTTGCTTCTTACTAAAATGCTAACTATGAAAGAAAACTATAAGTCAGTCATCAGTTGAGCATTCATAAAACCATCATCATGAAACTATAAGATAGATGATAGCTGTATAGTTGTAAAATAGTGTAAAGAAAGCTCTAAGCTGTAGTGAGTTGTACTGAAGATATCGGAAGTCAAGAGGAATGTAGTATGCTAGTGTCACACAGTAAGAAGAGATATAAATAAATGGTTACAGTTTTATAAACAGTGAAAACTAATTCCAAACCTAATAAAAATAATTATCTTTGGAAGGGAGGAAGAACTCAAGGCCTGGGATAGGAAAAGCAGTCTAAGTCTCTGAATGGTCATGTTTTAAATTTTAGACTAAAACTCCATCGCAGTATAAAAATGGGTGTTAGCCAAAAATCAATACCTAAAAATCAAAAATAAAGTTATGAAAATAAATAACCCTATCAAATTTGTAGCTTAATTAGATAGAGAATTATTTCAAGTGACTTTAGAGCAGTGGTTCTCAACCTTCCTAAGGCTGTGACCCTTTTCTATGGTTCTTCATGTTGTGGTGACCCCCAGCCTATTTCAGTGCTACTTCATGACTGTAAATTTGCTGCTGTTATGAATTGTGATGTAAATATGTGATGTGCAATTGTTGCCATTTTATTTTTTAATCTAATGAATACCTCAGAGGAGAGTGAGTACTTTTGATAGTACTGTTATGAAGATTTTAGCATATGAGAAGATGCTTGGCTATAAGATCACTTAAATCACAATTGCTGATTTAAGTTATAGTAGCATGGATTCATATTAGAATTTCTCTCTTAGGATGTCTTTTCTTCCCAGCACATTAAAAAGACTGAAAAGCAATGGCAGTTCAGTTATGACAAATGCTCAAATCATTGATTCTGCTGTCTTCTCCTGCTGGAAGGAGTTTTGACTTTGTAGCAAAGTGGATATTTTTAGTTGAGGGACAGGAACTGTATAAGATAACCCTCCAACACCTTGGCATGCCTTCACTATTAGGGATCACACCATAAGACAAACTACCCAGAGTTGAAGCATCAAAATAAGAAAGTACTTGCCTTGGATTAAAACTATTTGCATATTATTGTGAGATAATAATGGCATCTTTGGTCACCTTTAGACCAAAAATACTAAATAAGGAAAAGAAATCAGGGCCAGTGAGATGGCTCAGTAGATAAAAGTGCTCACCACACAAACATGGTGACCAAGTTCAGTCTCTCAGTCCCACAGTGGAAGGAGAGAACCAATTTCCAGGAGTTGTACTCTGGCCTCCACATACATGCCATGGTGCGCACATATGTGTTAGAGAGAAAACACTTTTGTGACCCCACAGTAGAGGCTATATTTCAGTCACCAACAGCTAATGAGAGAATGTTCCCCAGTGTAAGACAATCAGAACTAGTGAATATAAGAAAAATTACTATTTTATAGCTTCTAATGAAATAATTGATTTAAGAAGCAAACAGTAATGTTACTAAAAGTATTAATTGAAAGATTGATGAATAGGAACTTTATAATGGAATAGGGCAAACTGATCAGTTTGAACATCTAAACAGGCTGTCAAAGGGTTTCCTGATTTAATGTAACAAAAATTACACAACAGTGCCTATTATAAGTTTTTAAAGTTGATTTATTTATTTTTATTTTATGTGTGAGTGTGTGAGTGCCTGCATGTATGTGTGTGCACAACACGCATGTCTGGTGCGTGCAAGAGCCAGAAGACCCCCTGCACTGGTGTTGTGGGTGTTTATGAGCTGCCAGGTTGGTACTTGGAACTGAACCTAGGACATGTGCAAGTACAACAATGACTTCTAGCCCCTGAGACATCTCTCCAAATGTCAAATAATATATTTTTGATCAAAATTAATTGAAAGGAATGGAGTCAGGTCTCTGTGCTGATCTGTACAAACAATGGGTGATAGAAGAACATGTTGGATAATAACATGAGGTTAATTTCAGCCAGATTCAGATGGCAGAGAACTATGAAATAAGTAATTAATTTTCTTCAATAAATAAGTGACAATGAAAGGGAGGGGTGGTAGGCTGTGTGGACAGAGCCTTAAAATCCATACTACCAAGCAAGTATAATGTAAATCCTTGTTTGTATCTTGTTCAAGCAAGCCTACTTCAGGATGACATCATTTTAATCAGTAAAAATTAAATGTGGAACATTCAAATTATATTTAATTACTGGTAATTTGAGACCTAACAAACAGCATTATGATAACATTATTATTATTGGTGACAAGCTTTAATCTGTTAGAGGTGACCATTAAAATATTCAGGGGAAACAGTACATGGTCTGGAGTTTGTTTTTGCATACTATGCCCTCTTTGATTTGTTTCTACGTATTCTAGGTCTCCATACCAAAATATATTGAGAATGAGAGTCAGTAGACTAACAATAACAAAATGTTGGTGATTATGTAAATTGAGTGATGGTTATAGGTGGATTTATTGTCCTTTCATGCCTTTTGTGTATTTCCATAATAAAATAAAGTAGAGGGAAAGGCCTTCCCACAAAATTGTTTAGATTACCAAAAATCATAATAGTAAAGCCTCCTCAGTAGATTTTAGATGAGAGTCTTAGTTTCTAGTTATATTTTATTTTTGAAATTCAAGGGGGGAAATGCTTTCTGTAGCTTGACTTAATGTATTTCATTTACATCCAGTTAAAAGAAAGAACCGAGCATGGGTATAATGAAGAAGCTTGTACCAAAGTTCACTATCATTGTTCTTTTTTAGACCAAGCTACCCTGGTGGAACAAGTGAAAAGAGTAAAAGAAATTGAAGCCATCGAAAGTGATTCTTTTATTCAGCAAACATTCAGATCAAGTAAAGAAGTCAAAAAAGTAAGTTTTTACATGGTCATAATGATTAAGCCTTTGGGTTCCCACTGAAGAGACTATTAATGAATTTCTTAGATGTGAGTGTTTCCAACAATGGGCAGATGAATGGGGGAGAAAATGTCTGTGGTGATATCTTGCTTGTACAAATAAAGCCTGTCTGAAGATCAGAGGATGGAGCTTGCTACTAGCTAACCATAGAGGTCTAGAGGTCTGTACAGATTGGAAGTGAGATGGCTGGGCAGAGAGAGTATGAAGAAATAGGAACTCACTTTCTTTTCTGCTAGGAAACTAATAAGGTAAAGGTGGCTTTGGCTTGCTGCTTCTCTCTGATCTCTCAGCATTTTCCTCTATATCTGACCCTGGATTTTTATTATTTAGACCAATTAGAACCCCATTTACAAATGTCAGTCATGCTGGTGAGAGAAGGAGTCAACAAGAATCAGCCCAAGCCTACCTATATAAAATACTGTAAACATGGATCTGGCACCATTTTTATTTTAAAGTTTATCAAAACAACTAAGATATCACTGTGATTCTGTAACTGTAATGTCCATTTCATTAATATAGACAGGTTTGTTTGTTTGGGGCTTTGGGGGCTTTTTGGAGCAGGAGTTGGGGGGCGGGCTTCAAGACAGGGTTTCTCTGTAATTTTGGAGCCTGTCCTGGAACTCCCTCTGTAGATCAGGCTGGCCTCAAACTCACAGTGATCCACCTGTCTCTGCGCCCCAAGTGCTGGGATAAAAAACATGTGCCGCCACCACCCTGTGTTTGTTAGGTTGTTGTTGTTTTGGTTTTTTGTTTATTTGTTTTGGTGTTTTTTGCTTTTTTTTAAACAAATGTCTGTATGCATATTTTGAATTGTTATTCCTAGATATATGTTGGAAAATGACTTTAAATGGTAACGCTATTACTCAAATAGAAGAATCTATCTCTGGTCTTTGCCTAAATGTGTGTCATTTATTCAACTTCAGTAAAGAGTTTTGAATACATTCCATTTCTGTTGAATTTTTTACTTATTCTTTCCCTTGTTAATAACACTGCTCTTAAGAATTTGCATTCCTAACCCTGTCTCATAAAACCAAAAAAAAAAAAAAAGAATTTGCATTCCTTTAGTAGGAAAAGATGTTATAAGGAATACATGTGACTGGGTGGTGGTGGCTCACACCTTTAATCCCAGCAGTCAGGAGGCAGAGGCAGGCGGATCTCTGTAACTTTGAGGCCAGCCTGGTCTTCAAAGAGAGTTCCAGGACAGTCTCCAAATCTACAGAGAAACCCTATCTTGTAAAACCAAAAAAAAGAAATACATGTGTCTTTTTGTAGCAGTTGTGTAGTGAAGTAATAGCTGTAATTTCAACTTACTTTAAAGTCTTCTACTTTACTGCATTGCACTTCTAAAGTGCAAATGTAGTAAGACTGTATAACATCATAATGATAGATGTAATAATCATTTATTTTTTTCTTTGATATCAGATTTCTAAGTAGTTGTGTTTTGGAATGTTACCTGTTTTTAATAATATGAAGTTATTTGTTCAACTTTTCATTATTTAATGGTTCAAAAGTTATCCTCCAAAAATATTATAGCAATCTAAATTATGCCCAAAAGTACAAGGAACTTTCTGTTTTATAAACAAAATCTTTTTCATGTTTATTAAACTGATATGTCAAAATTATCAAATTGTTTCCTATAGATTCCTGGTGTTAAGAGAGATCTGAAACTTTGCCAGATATTTTTAAAGATAGAACATACAAAGATATGAGTTGAGTGTGTGATGTATGTTAGTTTGTATGTTAGTTACAGGACTAGATACCCTTGGATAACCCACATATTGATGGCTGGGAGACCAGCATGGGACTAAACCAGACCCCCTGAATGTGGGTATCAGTGAGGAGGCGTAGGTAATCTATGGGGCCTTGGGTAGTAGATCAGTATTTATCCCTGGCATACAAATGGACTTTGGGTGCCCATCCCACAATGAGAGATTTTCTCTCAGCCTGGACTCTTGGGGGAGGGTCTAGGCCCTGCCCTGAACAAAATGATAGACTCTGGAGACTCCCCCATGGAGGGCCTCACCCTCCCTAGGGAATGGAGTGGGGATTGGGGGGGGGCGCTGGGAGGAGAATGGAGAGGGAGCTGGGATTGACATGTGAAGCAACCTTGTTTCTAATTTAAATTTTAAAAAGGCAAGAAAAAAAAAAGAAGTATATCATCACAACTCCTGGAAGCCACAGCTATGAAATGAGCATTCATATGTACATATGCCCATTATATTTAATATCTTAATCTTGCATAGTATAAAGACATTTGCCTAAAAGAATGTATTTATTTGAGGATTTGGCCTTATATTTATTTTCTGAAGTTCATTCTGAATTCTTATTGGACATTCTTACAATCAATGAGTAAGTTTTCCTGTGAAAACATTCATCTAGAGTCTGTAGACTAGGTTTTGTCTTATGACACTTTCCTATCTGGTTTCCCTTTACAGTTACTTTTAATTTGTATTTTTCCTTCAAGAACGCAAACTGGTAAGGATTAGTATCAACAGGGAATATGCTGGAGCCTCAGGAGATGCCATTCTCCCTTGAATACGTAGAGTCGTAGCCATCCAGCACATGACTGTTGTTAGGAACCACTACACTCCAAGATGCTCAGAGGAGCAGTGATGGGCTAACAAGAATAAATTTATACTCCACTGAAACATAAAATGAGGACAATTTATTAGCCTAGAAAGTGGCATTGCTTTCTAGTCTGAAATGTCTGTGTCTGCAGTAGAAGGCCAGGACTCAGGATGCCTAAGAAGATGAATTATTTATGAGGAGATTACTTAGCAAAGAGAAGTAAATTATCCTGAGTACTATTTCATCCAGATCCTGGGGAGACATGATGGTCTATCCTTGCTGCATAGCAAAGATTAACTCTCTTGGGGACTAAATCACCCAGGGCCCAAGTTTCCACATCTGTCTCTTCTGGACAGTTTGTGCTCTTACAAAGTTTGCCTCTAAAAAAGGCTGTCCATGCTAGCACTCCTCTCAATTGGTGTCGATTTCCTTAGGAGCTAAGTCCACTAATTAAGCTAGAAAGCTGTCACCAAGAAGAAACTGCCTCTTAGCAATAACATTCAAGACATGGCCGTCATACAATACATATTTATTTATCTAGTTTAACTCTGAAACCTTACCCAAGTACTTAGGGGATGTGATAGATCTTTAATACATCATTAACTTTAGAAGCCAAGATATAGCTTGTTTTCAGGATGCTGTACCACATAAACTTGTTCTCAAAGACTGGTATATTTGACAGATAATCCTCCAGTGTTCAAAAGGAGAGTAAATAACCCTGTGACACGTGGGCATCTGTGTTAACTTGGAAGATCAGGGAAGTATTTTGCAATTATACCACCAGGTGGCAGAATTGCACAGTCAGCCCTTAATGTGGTTTCCTTTTTTTTTTTTTTTTTACTGTTTAGTCATAATTTTCTCTTAGAGTTTCTGTCACTTAACTATGGAGCAGCTACTGATTTTACAGCCACATTCAACCACTCTACAACTCCCATGCTCCAATCCTAACTTTTGATTGTTTTAATTTACATGTATATTTATACTTTTTTTTAATGTTGGGATTGAAGAAATGGCTCGGAGCACAAGAACTCCAGCAAGCATAAAAATAAAGGTTTAGATGTCAGCACACAAAGGGGAAAATACCAGGGAAAAAAGCCAGGTGTGGGCACATGTGCTGGTCACTGGGTCCTCCTGGCAGCCCGCCTATCTCCATTTTCAGTGAGAGACCCTGTCTCAACGGAATAAGGCATAGAGTGATAGAGCAGGACTCTGCATCCTCCCCACCCCCACCCCCACACACACAATGGATAGCACACAAAGGAAAAAAAAAACAAAATGAGACTAATTGGCCTCTATAATAAGAATGTTGTCTCTGAAGAGAGAGAATCCACTGCGTCTCCACATCTTTTCAAGACAGTTCAACATGAGGTCAGCATCTCCTGCCTAAGTACTATGGGAATATGATGGGGTACAAAGACAGGTTGTCTTTATGAGGAAATATAGACTGCCAAAAATTGTTTTATTGAGTCTTGTTGAATTCCCCATGCAGAATATTGGGCTTGCCTTTAATGCAATTTCATAAATGTATATCATAACTTTATTTCTAGGGCCATGACCTTCTAGGCTCAGTAGATCAGAGATATACAAATGTTTGAAATCTGGATAGCATGGGAGGGGGATATTGGCTCTAAAATATAAAAAACTGCCAAATAAAATTTAATAACTATTTCTCTTTAATGCCTATATGTAAAAGTTAGTGTTATGGTTCACATTAATATCTTAACTATTTGGCTTAATGTTGATAAGCATACCATCATTTAGGAACAGTTTGTGGCATAGATTTCTCTAGTTTGTAACAATTTCTGCTCTTGTTTGATGACTTATCAGAAATATAGCCTTCAGGGACATTTTGCTTATAAAAGAGTAAAAGTCTTCTATGCATACCGACCAGCTTGCTTTAGCATGAAAATGAATTCATGCTTGAATCAAATAAAATGCTAAAACAATGAATGAATCTTACCATTATGCATTAGCTCATCTTGGATGAAGGGATGGTTGAGTACATCAGGTGCTTGTCATGTAAGTATGAGGACCTGAGTTCCATCTCCAAAACCTCATGTAAAAATGTGGTGGTGTGCTTGTAATCCCAGCACTGGGGAGGCAGAGACAGGTAGGCTTCCTTCCGTCACTGACCAGCAGGCCTACCTGTTCATTGAGCACCAGGACAGTCAGAGACCCTGTATCAAGAAACAGTATAGACTCTACCTGAGGAACAGCACCTAGTGTTGCATTTAGCTTTAACCCACATACACATGCATATAGGAATTAGCTACTGACCACAACATAAGGACTTTCCCTTCTATCGAAACAACTATAAAAATTTGACAAGATGTATGGTGCAGTTTTCAGGTACCTAACATTAGGTAGCACGGGAGTGATCATCTTATGATGAGTGAGGCAAAGTATAATTCTCCCAGTCCCTGGCCCTTCTGCCTAGAACCAGTTTCCTGTACTGGTGCTGAGTAGAGGTGTGGCTGGGCTTAGCAAGCAGCAATCAAGGGTCTAACTGCATGTCATCTGTTCTGGCCTCCCTTCTGATATTCCTTCTTTCACACTGCACACACTGCTCACTCTGCCTAAAGCTTTCTCTTCCTATTCTCATTTTTCAGATCTTAAATTTTACCTACTAAATAAAAGATACTGTGCCTAGGCACGGATTTTAAACTTGACTCACCTCTCCAATCCCCCTCATTCTTATTTATTTCTTGCTGGAGTATAGTGTTATTAATCATTATATACTTATTAATATATGTGTTTATAATCTGTTCATTCAGTCAACAACAAAAAGCTCACCAGCAAAAATACATGGCCCTTTTCTAGTTTATTCTCCCTTTGTATCTGGGACTTACCAAGCAGTGTTTAATGAGATTACTAAATTGATAGGTCTCCAAATTGAAGATCAAGTAATCAAAAAAAAACTTAATTAATTTATGCATGATTCACCCTCTGAACATTTTTCATAGTAATATTTGTTTTGAACTTCATTCAGAAAATGGGTGTTAAGAAATAGATACAACTCAAAATAAAATAGAAAGTAAAAACAATTTAGAACCAATAGATACAGAAAAAGACTACAGAGGAAAATTGACTTCCCATTTGTTTCTTTTATACTATATTTCAAGTTAACTTCAGATTTTTATCTAATTCATTTCATACAATCCCTACAACCTTACTGCTAATCAGTCACTCCTCAGGCCACCTCCTCTGTCAGGGAAGATTGAGGTTCACCTGAGTCAGCACATGCCACTTGTTCCTCCAAGTTCCCAGCATTTACAATAATGTGTGGGCACCCATGGTATGTAGTTTACAAAAAAACACTGCATGTAGTTTGCAAAAAAAATAACAAATTTAGTTTTATTCTTGCAGAATATGATGTATCTTTTTAAAATATTTAAGTAATCTTAAAAGATAATCTGTGAGTCCATCAATAGATGATACACAGATAAATAAAATGTGCAGATCCATACAATGGAATATTTTTCAGCAACTAAAAAAAATAAGTACTGAAATGCTATAACATGTATGATTCTTTAAAATACTAGGCTCAATGAAAGAGCCAGCCACAGAAATCCACTCAGTGCATGGGTCCCTTATATAAAGTGACCAGAAAGCCAGAATATCCAGAGTAGACAAAGCCATCATCAAGAGATTGGAAGAAATAAGGAGTGATTGCTCAGATACATGAAATGTTGGAAGGAATATTCTGAGATAGATCGTGGTAACTGTTGTATAATTTTGTAGATATGCTAAAATCCATAGTATGGTATGTAAATTATAGCTAGCAGGGATAGATATGTATTTTAAGGATAACTTTTAGACTTCTCTTTATACCTGAGGCCAACCAAATATTAGTGATATACTGTAATATTTTATTATTATAATTTAGACATCAAATATGTGTGTATGGTATGCATGTGTGTATGCATGTAAGTGTGTTTCAATAATATAAGACCAAACACTGATTTCATAAGAAAAATACTCTCATCATAGGAAATTAAAACAATTCCCTCCACACTTGTATTTGTTTCTTTGAGTAACAATTTTTCCTCATTCAGGAATGTGGAACCTTTTGAGATGAACATCATCTTAGAGGAGACTTACTAGAACAATTATTGTTCAATATTAGATATTATGAAAGCCAACTTCTAAATGTGAATCATGCATTAATTGCTGTGTTGCATTTTCAGTCTGTAGAACCTAGTGAAGTGAAGCATGTGACCCCAGCATCAGGACCAACATCAGTAGCTGCTGACCCGCCTAGTGTTGGAAAGGAAATAGACCCTGACAGCATACCCACGGCTATCAAGTACCAAGATGACAATTCTCTAGCTCATCCAAATGTGAGACCCTTAAACCTGATGAATCTGCTCACTGAGTCACCCAAGCAATCATTCCTTTATTCTGACACTAGGAAGACAGGCAGGAAAGAGTTCATGGCTTTTCTTTGCTTTACATGGGCAGCTAACCTCAGGCCTTAGGATTGTTTACATATATTTGAGTCTTGTGTTGTCTACATATTTCCTGACTTCAGGAACGATTCTGTCAAAAAAGGAAAATGGAAAAAAAAAAAAAGGCCAGGCGGTGGTGGCATACACCTTTAATCCCAGCACTCGGGAGGCAGAGGCAGGCGGATCTCTGTGAGTTCGAGGCCAGGCTGGACCAACAGCCTCCAAAACAATACAGAGAAACCCAGTCTCGTAAAACCAAAAAAAAAAAAAGGAAAATGGTAAATGGTTTTCCTTTTTTATAACTGACAGTAGAAGTTCTAATGCTAGCTCAGCTCTGGTTTTTCAGCTGTGAGCTGTCACTAACACCATACTTTACGGCCTTTACACAATGATGTGATTGATGTTCCTCAGAAAAATGGTAAGAAATAAACTCACAGACATAGGTTGTAAAACAGCCAGTCAGTGAAACCATGTTCAGGTTGTTCCTTTGCTCCACTACTGCTAAGTGCTAACTCATAGTGGGTGGGTTAAGCAGTGACATAGCCCTCAATGTTGAGCAGTATACACTGCTGTTCTGGGAGTCTTCTATCAGAGTGATTTGTGTTATGTGGCGTCAGTCCCGCACTACTGACGCACAGTAACGTTCCTTCTTCTTTCTTTTATTGTAGTTATTTATTGAAAAAGCTGAAGCTGAAGAAAAGTGGTTCAAGAGATTAATTGCCCTCCGTCAAGAAAGATTAATGGGCAGTCCTGTGGCCTAAGGAAGACACTTATGGTTGAACTGACAGAAGCCTTGAAAATTGAGGTTTTTAAATACCAATATTAACTTTTACTCAAAATAATTTAGCCAACTACATAGAAAGAAAATCTCATTTCTTCCCTAGTGTTCAATGTTGATTCAAATCAAACATTGTGAATAGTGAATCTATTATAAAAGGTATGAGTGCATGAGCGTATTGTCTTGTTAATAAAGCTAATCACAAAAATATCAGTGATGAAGTAAATAAATATTCAGTAGTGTTTATCATGGTTTTTACAAATTTGTGTTTTGACCCTTTTATGAATTCTAAGCAATAACTGTGTCATATTTGAAGACAACATCTTCTGCTAAATCTTCTCTTGTGCCAAGTTTGATGTCAACCCTCTAATCCTAGTCCTCTGGAGACTTAGGCAGGAGGACCTCAACCCCAGTCTGCACTACACAGCAAGTGCTGGGACACCTTGAACTGCATGGTGAGGCCTTGTCTGAAAATATTTCAATTAGAAATCAGTTTGTATTCGTGTTCTTTTGAAACCTGTAAGCAGACCCAGCCCTATCCCTTGGAAATCACATGCCCACTTTATCACTCACTTTGCATTGCTATGACATAACCTCAGAGGAAAGGTTTTTGTCTATTGCTTGAGAAGATTCAGCCCATGGTCAGCTGGCTCCACTGCTTTTAGACCTATGGCTGCTGATAGGGATCCAAGAGACAGGAAGGGCCTAAGGTACCCTTCTAAGATACATTCTACTCACCTGCTCCTAGTGTGTTCCCTCCCTCCTGACAACCCATTCAGCTCTGAACTCATGCTTTAATTCATTGGCAAAGTTACAGTCCTTATAATCCAGTAACACTCTCAGTAACACCACCAGTGGGGAACCAATACTTAAACATTTGAGCCTTGGGGGGACACTTCGTATCCAAACCTTAATAACCATGCTAGACCTATTTGATTATCCAGATACCCATGATGGGAAACCATTTCTGGGAAATGAGGGCTCTCACATCCCTCTTGCTTAGCTAGCTTGTCTTCCCTCCCTAGGAAGCAGCATGTGCTGTCTTTCTCTAGTGACTGAGCAACAGAACTCAATGTAATCGTAGTAGATGGACTAGAGAGAAGGACTTAGGTCCTTGCTGTACATAACTGAATTTCAACCCCTGACACAAATACTTCCTTTTTCCATCTTTCTCTGCTTACTTTCACATGATCTCTATGAGGACTGGAGCTTAAGACACAGCCATGGGAAGTCCTTGAGATATGATACATAGGACATTTTGATTCCATCTTTTTCATACTTTAGAACTACAGAAATTCTCAGCTCTGTTAAAAAAATGAAAAAAATGAATTTGCACTCCATTGCAAGCGTTAACACAGAGCTTTGTTTTAAATGCTTGTTTTTATGAGTACATGTCCTTGATCTTAGTAGACACTCTTAATTAAACATGGCCAGTATGAAGTCAATTCTGTGTAGTTGATGATGCAGATACACAGTAGTGGTTTCAGGACAGATTAATGTTTCTGAAATATTTTGCATTTTAGTTCTTTGTATAATATGTAAACTGTAAATGTGTTCTCACAAGAAATATATGTCTAGGAACAGATATAGGTTTTCAATTGGCCATAGGGAGTCTCCAGAATTTTTTCAGTATGCTTGAGTCTTCCTATTTGTACAGCAATGAAGATACTATGACCTACTTTATAATATACCTTCCACTCATATTCTTTGATAACAGGTACACCAAACACAGAGGCTTGAATTAGAATGAGTTTGTATATCAAAGATAAATGTTTTGTGGGAAGAAAATTAAGTTGAAGTTTGTTGTTTTAAGTGAACAAATAAACTTGGTCCTAAAGAACTCAGTGACCACTTCCTCCCTTCACTTTGGTATGTCATTAATTTTGTTTCCTTCTGTTTCTTTCTAAAACTACAGTATGACCACAGAAGCCAAATCAGATTTAATGAGGAGACTTCACAGAGCATTTCAAAAGCATTGCCAGACTCAAGCTAGATGATGCACCCTGGCCATCTTTAATATCCCAACATAATAAGCTTGTAAAGCACAACAGTCCTTTTCATGTTACTTGATAATTATAATAATTCAGCTTATATGTGACCTTAAGTGCATTGAAGCAAGATTTCTTGCAAATGATAGGCATTAATGCAGGTTATGTTTTTATTCCCTGTTCTAAGGTACACTGTTAGAAAGAACAGACTAAGAATGATGTTTCTGGCACTCACTGTTTATGAGGAGGCCCATGATGAGGGGACAGAGTACTTTAGGTCATTTACCTACTTGGCTTGAGCATCCTATCTAGCATGTGAAGTGAGGATATTAATAAATGACCTTCCTGCTTTCGTGTTTTGCAGTGGGAATAGCATTAAAAATGTTCATAGAAAAGTATATTACTTACCCCAAGTGAACATTTTGACGTAGGGAGATTTTTGAAATACAGAATAAGCAGTTGCATGGGTAATAGTTTAAAAAGCTACCCTCCAGTTTATGTGTGTTTCATTGTACTTTGATCTGTTCTTGTCAATAGCGCACATCCCTGCTTTGTGTTCAGTCAACCTTTCCTGATCTGCTTCCTTGACAACACCATGAGGTTCTGTTCTGTCACAAGGGAACTGCCATGTACTTATTTGAGTAATCCAGAACTTTTTCATGGTCATATTTACCAACTTATTCATGAATATTATTTTGAGTGCTTACTTTATGCTCAGCACATTATAGGGACCTTTGAACATACACAACGTGTATCAGTGAGGTTTAGCTACGAAGCCCACACATGGAATGATATAAGAAATCTAACACATACTGTTAGTAGAGACGTCTGGGTTATGTAAAAGAAAGAAATTAGTCTGAATCAAAAAAGCACAGGAAGGCCTCGTGGAAGAGATTACACAGCAGTAAAACTAGACAGTTAAGAAGGCGGCACCTCCAGCTCACAGCCACTGGTTTTGCCTCCCAAAGGCGACTTTAGAAGACTGGAAGCTTCCGCAATTCTTTTGCCTATGGTTAGGGCTTTCACAAAGTTTTTGTTTTGGACATCAATCAAAAATGTTTTGGTGAAGCCGGGCGGTGGTGGCGCACGCCTTTAATCCCAGCACTCGGGAGGCAGAGGCAGGCGGATCTCTGTGAGTTCGAGGCTGGGCTGGACCGACAGCCTACAAAACAATACAGAGAAGCCCTGTCTCATAAAAACCAAAAAAAAAAAAAAATGTGTTGGTGAAATGACCAGACAACTGTTAAATAGTATCCTAACAAAACTTACTCTTGGACACCCTTGTGGGAAAACGTGTCCTTCCCATAGCAAGAATACCCAAGGCTTTAGAATAAAGCACAGGTAAAGAACACTGTAGAATGGGCATTATCTTAACCTTTGTCATGAAGATGAAATTTTAATATTTGTGCTCCAATTTGTGGTAGTTTTTTTCCTAAACCAAATAAAATATCCAGACAGTATATATTTCAAGACTGCTTTTGCTATCATTTTACCCCAGAATTTGGCCCAACATTTTACACAGCAATCACAACTGTCTTGTTTTGTTTTTATGAAAGAATTTCCCATTTTAGCTGTCTGGTTATTTAAATCGCTCAATTAGGGATAAGGTATTTATGTTCATTTCTTATTGCTGGGATAAAATCCCTGAGTAAAGCAGCTTATAGGACAGAGGATTTATTTTTCTCATAGGTTTGAAGGTTTCATCCATCATGACAGGAGAACATGGCAAAACAGCTTGTATGGTAGTTAGCAGGAAACACAGTGTACGCCTGGCTCTAGCAAGGTGTTCTCTTTCCTCACCTTGTAGGGCAGTGTTTCTCAACCTTCCTAATGCTGTGACTCTTTAATGTAGTTCCTCGTGTTGTGGTGACCCCCATTATAAAATTATTTTTGTTGCTACTTCGTAACTGTGAATTTGCTACTTTTGAATCATAATGTAAATACTTTTAAAGACAGGTTTCCCATATTGGGGAAACCCATAAGTTGAGACCCATAGGTTGAGAACCACTGTTTTAGACCATTCACATCACTTAGCCTGTGAGATAATGACAGCCACATTCAGAGGTCTTCCCTCAGTTAGTCCTTTCTGAACATATGCTTGGAGACACAAAATCTTCCAGACTCTTCTCTAGCTGGTTAAATTGACAATTAGATTAACCATCTTAGTTGTGGAGTGCAGGCTGTGGTTTCAAGCTTCATCACCAAAAATACACAGAGAGTGCAGTAAAATAAATTTCACAAGCTCATTGGGACAAGTACAAAAAATAAACAAACTTTACAACCATCTTAGTGTGTTTTCTCTGACTTATGTATCCAATGTCTCTAACCCTACAAAGTTTAGCTCTGTGAAGTATAAGATACATGGTACTGTTTCTTCTGGATTAGCATCTGCTGACAGTGACTTTAGACTTTACACAAACATCTCATTAGTCTCACATTCTCCCAGGCTTTCATTAAAGTCTAGTCTTCATTGCATAATTTGCATTGAAACTTTTTTAAAACATAAATGTTTTCCAAATACCAGTACAATGAATTTGTGAGTAGTTTTGTTTGTTTGTTAATTTTGTTTTTTAATAAATTCTATGGATAGATCAAATGATGTGGGTATGATCATTCAGGATCTACCCTATGCTGCCCTCCTATGACTTCCTCTTCTTCCAAAGAGATAGATCAATTTTCAAAAACTAAGACTTGCCAATGTAGTAAGACAACACTTTAAACTCCACAATGTAACACTTTATTTTTAGGTCTTTGAGAGGAATTGCAAAATGATACCACCACAGTTCTCAGAGTGGTGAACTGAGCTGACCCTCTCTCTCTTCCTACATCCTATACATGGTACTCAGTCGAACCCCACAATACAAAAATTCTGCCTTCAGAAGCTTTTCACAATAAGCTGCCAAGGCCTTGTTGTCAAGCAAAATCCATGACTGTGTCTGTTTCCATGTTAAAATGGAGTTTTTAAAAAAGCATAAATGGCTTCCAAATATACCAAGACAATGTACTGAGTACTTATATTAAAGATGGTGGGTATTCACCTGGCGTTGGTGGCACACACCTTTAATCCCAGCACTCAGGAGGCAGAACGATCTCTTTGAGTTTGAGGCCAGCCTGGTCTACAGAGAGAATCCCAGGACAACCTCCAGAGCTACAAAGAAACCCTGTTTCAAAAATCAAAAAAAAAAAAAAAGGGTGGGGGGGGACTGCCTGGTTTTGTTTTGTTGTTTTCTAAAAAATCTATGGATAGACAATTTATTTAGACTTTTTGTAGCTTAAGTAATTCTCCTTGATCTGGAGGAGATAAGTCTTAGAATTTATAACTTTGTAATGGTTTGAAATAATAGCTTTCTTTCAAAATACTGTATGTTTGAATGACCAATATCTACTCACATGAGGTTAAAAAAATGTCTGAAATCTTCTAAAGTCTTATAAATATGTTTTGCTGCATTTCATAAAAAACACGTTTTAGAAATGTACCATAAAGTATAAATAGCAATGTGAGCCCTGTGTCATTTAGTAGCTCTCTACCAAGAGCACTTGACCCTTCAAGGAGAAACTCATTTTCACATTAGCACCTATTCTCTGTGCCTGTACTTGTCTTCAACATTGTGTGGCCAACCTTCAACAGAGGAACTTATACAGAGACTTTCAGCATACCTTTATAGTTGAATCTTAAAATGACTGTAGTACAATTTCCAAGTAACACTGATTAATTCCTAAATTCCTAGGGAGGATATTTAGCCATAGACATATGAGGTCTTTGAAGAGGAGTTATATAAAAATAAGTCTTTTTCTCATGTGAAAACCTATTTTAAAGTTACCACAATCTGTGACAAAAAAGGCAACATATATCAGTAGAAGTGAAATGGTAGATTTCAATTCTAAAATGAACCTTGCAAATTAAGTGATTGCCTGCCATCTTACTAGATTATGCAAATTCTTCAAAGTTCCCAATGTTTGCCACTATATTTTAGATAAATTATATAATGAAAACATTTCAGGTAGTAATAAAGCTGCTCATTTGCTACCTTTGTATACAGGAAATTACCTTTTGGGTGGGAGTCAGGGTTTCTCTGTGGCTTTAGAGCCTGTCCTGAAACTAGCTCTGTAGACCAGGCTGGTCTCGAACTCACAGAGATCTGCCGGCCTATGCCTCCCGAGTGCTGGGATTAAAGGAGTGCGCCACCACTGCATGCCTAGGAAATAGCTTTCTTAAATAACATAAAATGAAAATTATATATTACATTGTTATTTTTCTTATCATAGTTGCATGGGTCAGTCTGTAATACCTGCCACTGAGCCTTGCACCCTTACTGCACATGATGAAAAGTGAGAACTGACTTGCACAAGTTGTTCACTGAACTAACCTCAAAGAAAAAAAAGGCAGAGAAGAGGGTGAGGTCATGGAAGCAAAGTATATACCTTCAAGGGCTCACCCTAAGTAACCTACTTCCTCTAATTAAATCCCATGTCTCTGTTTCTACCAAAAAATGCCGGCAGATTATGAAGCCATTTGTGAATTAACCCAATGGATTTAGGTTAGAGCTTTCATGATCCAAATGCTTCCTACAAGACCTGCCTTTGATAGTTACACTTGGGACCACACCTTCAACACATGAATTGGGGGAATATTTAATATCCAAACCACAGTGAGAAATAGTGTTTCAGTTCATTCATACCAGAAAATTTCCTGACAGTTTTGATGTAAAGTTTTCTCAAAAAGCCAAGTTCTCTCAGTAAGCCACATTTATATTGAAGATCCTACAAACTGACTAACACACTGTGATTATGGAGAGATAGAATATTGCATGTCAAGAGCCAAAATTATCTTACAATATCACCAGTGCCTTTT